CCTTTTATTCTGAGATATTACTAGCACTTTGCCTAGTTTTTTTTTAGTATCAATTGTTATTCCTTTTAGGAATTCAGTGGTAGCTGTTTTTAAGTGTTCTTAATTTAGCAGAATACAAAATTAGCAACTCCCATTTTTTTTTTTTAGTTTTACTCATTTGTAAAATCCTAAAGTCTAGGAAGCACTGAACTACTTATCTAGTGATCACTTGACTTTCATGTAAAAATAGAAGATCCATTTCACACAGATAAAAATTATAGACATATCTGATAGCGAAACAACGAAGAGACCATGATGACTTATTCCTAGCAATCCGCAAGGTTTCTTACCAAATTAAATTCTTTCCTACTACTGCTTAAGCCCATTTTTGTTTCATTCTGCTTCAGTGGAAATTATTAATAGCTACTATTTTCTAACAATCTCAGCACCAGTTTTCATAAAAGTTTTTTTCAAAAAGTGTCTTCCTACTCAAAGAATGAAACTGAAAATCTAGATTCAGAAACTTGGATATCTTGTTTGTTTAGACCAGGTGACTGGTTCTCTTTCTTTACTATGATGCTTGGAAAATCTAGAACCTCTTCATCTGCTTGTGCAAACAAGGAATGCCCTGCTTTTCTCAAGAACCAGTTAGAGGAGAATTTTGAAAAGCAGAGACATTTAATCGAAACTGATCAAATTATGAAAGTGAGAGGTAAAAGAAGAGAGGTGAACTTTTACTTTTCAATTGTATATCCCTCTTTACTTTTTACCTGTTTATTGAGAATATATATTAGTTTTATAATTTATACATATCAAATTTTAATACAATACAGACAGCAAATGAGCATAATAAAATGATGTTCAACATCTTAAGTTATTAGGGAACTGCAAATTAAAACAACAAGATACCACTATATCCTTATTAGAATCTAAAGCACTGACACCAATTGCTGGTGAGGATGCAAAGCAACAGTGACTGTTATTTATTGCAAATTGGTGAGATTGCAAATTGTATACAGTCATGTGTCGCTTAATGATGGGAATATGTTTTGAGAAATGTGTCATTAGGCAATCTCACCATTGTGCAAACATAGAGTGCACTTACAGAAACCCAGATGGTCTAGCCCAGTGGTCGGCAAACCGCAGCTCGCGAGCCACATGCAGCTCTTTGGCCCTTTGAGTGTAGCTCTTCCACAAAATACCATGTACGGTATTTTAAATATGAGGAAGCTTTTCTCAACAGGTTCCAGGAATTCAGAAACAGCAAAGTGACGTTAGCCTTTGTTAAAAAAACCTCTCAATGCTACTGTAACAGAATTAAATTTTTCTCCCTTTAATATTGACATTGGCAACTTTGAAATGCAATTGCTGGATTTAAAAAACAAAGAACTCTGGAGCTCGAAATTTGAACGTCTTTGTGCTGATATAGAAATATTGGAGAAAAACAAATGTGAACTTAGTTCACAGCACAAGTGGTCTGCTTTGAAAGACCTGGAGAAGGAAGATATGTTGATTTTTAACACCTGGAATAGTATTCCTGACTCATATAATCAACTGAAAAAACTAGCATTTGCTGTTCTTTCCTTATTCGGGTCTACATATTTATGCTAACAATCATTTTCAAGCATGAATCTTATCAAGAGTAAATTTAGAAGTCGTCTTATTGATGAGAAACTGGAATCGTGCCTAAAATTAAAAACAACAACATACAGAGTGTGGATGGGAGAGTTGGAAGGGGTCGACCTCAGCGAATGTACCTCAATCAGATTGAGGACGTTTTTAGCAAAGGCCAGCTTAGGAGTACCCTAATTAAGTTAACAACAATGTACCTACGTATATAGTTTAAGTTTAAAAAATTTGGCTCTCAAAAGAAATTTCAATCGCTGTACTATTGATATTTGGCTCTGTTGACTGACCACTGGACTAGCCTCCTACACACCTAGGCTATATGGTATAGCTATTACCCGTAGGCTGCAAATGTGTACAGCATGTGACTGTACTGAATCATGCAGGCAACTATAACATAATGATAAGTATTTGTGTATCTAAACATTAAAAAGATACAGTAAAAATATAGAAGATTTTTAAAACGGTGTACCTACATAGGCCATTTATCATGAATGGAGCTTGCAGGACTGAAAGTTGCTCTGGATGAGTCAGTGAGTGAGTGGTGAATGAATGTGGAGGACTATGACATTACTGTACACTACTTTATAAATACTTTACCACTTACGTTACACTAAATTTATAAAAAATTTTTCTTCAATAAACTAAACTTAGCTTACTGTACATTTTACTTTATAAACTTCAAAATTTTTTTTAACTTTTTGACTCTTTGTAATAACAGCTTAAAACACAAACACATTGTAAAGCTGTACAAACCCTTTTCTTTATATTCTCATTCTATAAGGTGTTTTCTATTGTTAATGGTTTTATTTTTTAATGTTTTAAACATTTAAGACACAAATACACACATTAGCCTAGGCCTACACAGGGTCAGGATCATCAACATCACTGCCTTCCACCTCCACATCTTGTCCCACTGAAGGTCTTCAGGGCCATTCATGAAGCTGTCCTCTCCCAGGACAACAATGCCTTCTTCTGGAACACTGAAGGAGCTGTCTGAGGCTCTTCTTGAGGAGGTGTCATTCTTTTCATATATACATCCACGGTGGTTTGCTAGGTTTCTTTTTTCATTATAGATTTGCTTGTAAACAGATAATGTACCATGAATATTCCTCGGTATTAATAAAACCTTTCAGTGTTGAGGTCTATGTTTTCAAACTCTTAAGGAGCTTGCTGAGGTCTGCAAAAGCTTCTGCTAACCCCTTCATGTGAATTTTCTTGGGAGGAGTCTTCTTTTCTTTCTCTTATAGTTACTTTTCTCTTGACTCTCCTTCAGCTATGCGTTCCTGTTCCAGTTCCAATAACTCATTAGTCAATTCCTTAGAAGCCACCTCCAGGAGCTCATCAATGTCATCCTCGTCCACACCCAGGTTAAAGTTGTTAGCCATCTCGGCCATAGCCTTGCTGATCTCAACAACCTCCTATTCCTTGAAAAATCCTTTGAAATCATGAACTACGATGTCACTAAGCAACAGGAATATTTCAGCTCCATTATAATCATAGGGAACAACGTCATATATGCAGTCCTTTGTTGTCCAAACACCATTATAAGAAGCATGACTACAGACATTTTGGAAGATAGTTGGGCAGTTTTTTACAAATCTAAACAGAAGTTTACCATAGAATCCAGAAATCATGCCTTTCCCCCTAAATAATTTAAAAACTTAAATGCACACAAAAGTTACACACAGATATTTACAGCATGGAGCCCTTGCCCAACTGGTATGACTTAGTGGCTGAGCTTCCATCCATGAACCAGGAGGTCACGGTTTGATTCCTGATCAGGGGCATGCAGGAGGCAGCCAATCAATAATTCTCTCTCACGCCCTAGCCATTTTGGCTCAGCAGATAGAGCGTCAGCCTACAATTCTGGTCAAGGGCACATGCCCTGGATACGAGCTCGATCCCCAGTAGGGGGCGTGCAGGAGGCAGCTAATCAATGATTCTCTCTCATTGATGTTTCTATCTCTCTCTCCCTTTCCCTTCCTCTCTGAAATCAATAAAAATATAAAATAATAATTCTCTCTCATCATTGATGTTTCTCTCTCTACCTTTCCCTTCCTCTCTGAAATCAATAAAAATACATTTTTTTAAAGTTGTGCAATTTCTTTTAAAAATATTATTTTTTAATCCTAACTGGAGGACATGGTTAGAGACAGGAAGAGGGGTAAGGGAGGGTGGGAAGAGAAAGAGGGATGGAGAGAGAGAGTGAGAGAGTGAGAAAGAGAGAAAGAGAGAGAAACATGCATCAGTTATCTTCCATAAGCTCCCCAGCTGGGGATCAAAGCCACAACCCAGGGATGTGCCCTGAGTGGGAATGGAACCAGCAAACTCTCAGTGCATGGGATGATGCTCAACCAACTGAGCAACTCCAGCCAGACTATCTGGGTGATTTTAATTATCTTTTTGCTTCTGGATTTTTCAAATTTTCTATAATAAACAAATAATTTTTTTACTATGAAAAACAATAAAAGCTATTGTGTCAAAGTGTGACAATAAACAAAAGGGTCCCACTTCCCAGATTGCATTATTTTTTTGCTTCCCATTTATCTGAGTGTGCCTTTCTTGTAATGTACAGTCACAATCTAGCAGTACTCACCTGTCCCACTGCTTGCAGGTTATAGCAGACAATGTCCTTATTGGCTGCTGAAGTTCCATAGAGAAGTGCTTCAATGAGCCAGCATATCCCCAGGAGGAGGTCAGAGAAGCTCAGATAAAAGAGTGGCCTCATCTGTCAAAGCAATAAAAGCCTCATTTCATAAATGACGTTAACAAGGAATTATTTTTATGTTTTACCTTTTTATTAGAAACTGGGCATCGTTTTTCTGGAGCCTGTCCCACTGGTTGACTGTGAGGAATGTAAAGGAATACACCAGGTAGGAGGGGATCTGTTATCACAACTATCCTAACTGTCCCGGAATCAGAGTACTTATGGATTAGCATTGGCCCTTGTTCCTCATAGACACTCCTTCCTCAAACATAGAATCAAAGTAAACATAGAATCACAAATCCGTGCACCGGGCCTCTAGTTTATCTTACAAGTTTCCATATCAATGAAAATATCAGAATAAATTGTATATGTTGACTATGAATTTCTAACCACATTGGTGAAGTTTGCCTTTCTCACTTTCTAGTATCCTCCTCTCTCTCTCTCTCTTTTTTTTTAAAAATATATTTTATTGATTTTTTTATGGAGAGGAAGGGAGAAGGACAGAGAGTCAGAAACATCGACGAGAGAAGCATCGATCAGCTGGCTCTTGCACACCCCCTACTGGGGATATGCCCGCAACCAAGGTACATGCCCTTGACCGGAATCGAACCTGGGACCCTTCAGTCCCCAGGCTGATGCTCTATCCACTGAGCCAAACCAGTCAAGGCCCTCCTCTCTTTTTATCTCCCTACTCCCACTTTTCTAAAAACAGTTTTGATCCTGCTATAGAGAAAACTATAAAATATTTATTGAGAGATACCAAAGGAAGATCTATAGTGAAAAATATACCATGCTCATGGATTATAAGACCCAATGTTATATAAATGTCAGTTCTCCCTAAATTGATATATAGGTTAAATGCAATCTCAATTACATCTCAACATATTTTCTTGTGAAATTTAGCAAGCTGGCTCTAAATCTAACTGACAGATACAAAATATCAAGGTGAACTCTTGAAGAAAAACAAGCAAGACACTCAAAGAAAAAGGAGAAGGACTTGTTTTACACATATCAAAACTTAATGTAAAGCTAGAGCACAGATACTGTGGTCCTAAGCACAGGGATGAACAAACAGACCAATCAAACAGAATAGAGAGCCCCAAACAACGCAAGCATGTATACAGACTTTTGACATATGGTTGAGGTGGCTTTTTAGATCAATGGAAAAAAAGATAGTCTTCTCAAAATATGGTGCTATAACAATTGGATATCTATTGGATAAAAGTAAAATCAGGTATCTATTGAAAAAAAGTGGATAGAGCATCAGCCTGTAGACCAAAGGGTCCCATGATTTTTATCTCACACTCAAAAATCAGTTTCAACTAGTTTAAAAGATCAAATTGTCTTCGACTTCTGGTTATGGAGAGTTTTCCTAAACAAAACACAAAAAGCACAAAATGAAGTAATTGGAAAATTTGACCCCATTAAAATGAAAAAAAAATGTGTTAAAATACACCATGAAGTATAAAGACATGCCACAAAGTGGGAGAAGACATTTGCAACACATATAACTGACAAAGGACCAATATCCAAACAATATTAAAAACAAACAAAGAACTTACAAAGCAATAAGGAAACCCAACCAAAAAAAAAAAATGGACAAAAGATTTGAACAGGTACTTAAGAAGAGAGGAAATCCAAATGGCCATAAACACATGAAAATATACCTGACCACACCAATAATCAAGGAAATGAAAATTAAAAGCATAATGAGGAAAAAAATTACATACAACCATTTGGAAAAGTTTAGCATGATCTAGGTCCTATTCTATATATGCATATTCTATAACAATTCTGTTATTAGAAAAAGACATTAGAGAAATTTTTTCATGTGTGCACCTGAAGACATGTACAAGACTGTTAATAGCAGCACAGATTGATAAAATTGTAGTATATTCATAAGATAGGATGCTAAACATTAATGAAAATGAAATGAACCAGAGATATATAAAACAACATGGATAAGTGGCACAAATAATATTAAGGAGAAAAAGCAAATCACAAAACAATATATACAAAAAATACCCATGTCAAATGCAAAAACAATCAAAACTAAGTTGTTTAGAGATACATACATAACTGGTAAAATTGTTCATAAAAATAAAGAAATAATTATCATAAAAATCTGGGTAGTGGTTACCTCTAGAGGTGAGGGAGAGAGTTGTGATTGGGAAGAACACAAACAGGTATGCTTAGGGCAGTGATGGTGAACCTTTTGAGCTCAGCGTGTCAGCATTTTGAAAAACCCTAACTTAACTCTGGTGCCATGTCACATATAGAATTTTTTTGATATTTGAAATCATAGTAAAACAAAGAAGTATTTTTTATATTTATTTTATATATCTAAATGCCATTTAACAAAGAAAAAAATCAACCAAAAAAATGAGTTCGCGTGTCACCTCTGACACGCATGTCATAGGTTTGCCATCACTGGCTTAGGGGTACAGGCAATTTCTATTTCTTGTCCCTAGTGTTTGTTTATAATCATTCTTTGAGCAGTACATGTATGTTTTATGCATTCTAATACATGCCATATATATCTCACAAGAAAACGTAAATTTAAAAATATTTAAGTTATCATCAGATACTACCTAATATGAAAACTAATCTCACCCTAGCTGGTTTTGCTCAGTGGATAGAGCATCAGCCTGTAGAGCAAAGGGTCCCATGGTTCTGGTCAAGGGCACGTACCTTGGTTGCAGGCTCCTCCCCGGCCCGGACCCTAGTCGGGGCTCCTGCAAGAGGCAACCAATCAGTGTGTTTCTCTCAACCCCAGTAGGGGGTGTGCAGGAGGCAGCTGATGGATGTTTCTCTCTCATAGATGTTTCTAACTCTCTAGCCCTCTTCCTTCCTCTCTGTAAAAAATCAATAAAATATATTTAAAAAAACAAAACAACAACAAACTAATCTCACCTGTACAAAAGGAAATTTTCTCATGCCTATCTTCCAAATGAGAAGAAAGTTAAGATGCTAGTACTTGCTAACAGGGGTAAATGGTTAAGTTGCCTTGAACAAAAACAAGTAAATTAATAACATTTTAAACTGTATTTAATAAACATCAGATAGTATTATTTTCACCGCATATAGCATACGCTCAGGGTAAGCCTGCTAAAATTACAGGCAGATAGGCATTCATAGATGAAAGTGGCCTATGACCTACCACAAGTTTATAACCGTTAATGGGTAAAAAAATTAAAACAATATAAAATAAACTCTGGAGGAGAGAGGCAGTCAAGTGGCTTTTATAAACAAGAACATAATTATGGTCATTGATTCAAGAAATAACCTTATATATAGGGAGCTGTTAGCCACTAAAGCATACTTAAAGTTTTTGTCAGGGAAAAGGAAGGGGTTTACATATTTTCACTCATGGTTGGAAAACCATTAGTTCTAGTAATAGGAGATAAAATCAATCAATTAAACAAAAATTAACTGAGTATCTATTATTGAGATCAAGAAAGATTTCATCCCTCCTATTAGTAAAATACTATGTTGAAGGTAATACAAAGAAATTGTACAGTATTAGGGAAATATAATCAACACAGTGCTTGATAAGGAAAACACGAAGAAAAGGCATAAGGCATGTGGCGGTGAGGGAAGGGGTCAATGGGGGGAAAAGGGGGACATCTGTAATACTTTCAACAATAAAGATAAATATTTGTAAAAGGCATAAGACATGATCCTAAATATAAAATCAAAGACTCTTTTTTAAAGCATACACAAACACACACACATCTGCAAAAGCAGAATGAGGATGGGGTAGGGGCAAAGCTCTGTGCGACTTTCCCTGGCGCGGTCTGGGTCCAGGTCTATTGTGCTGAGGTGAAAGACCTAAAACAACTCATACGAATACTCTTTTTTTAAAAGGCACAAGACATGATCCTAAATATAAAATCAAAGACTCTTTTTTAAAGCATACACAAACACACACACATCTGCAAAAGCAGAATGAGGATGGGGTAGGGGCAAAGCTCTGTGCGACTTTCCCTAGCGCGGTCTGGGTCCAGGTCTATTGTGCTGAGGTGAAAGACCTAAAACAACTCATACGAATACTCTTCTAAAACTCTGCTTCCCAATATTTCTAGTCAAGTAAAATAAAGAATATCCAAAGTATCAAATGTGATCTTTACGAGGAAATTAAGTCACACGCCATGCAGTGAACTATATCTGCCCTGAGTATTTTTTTAACATTGGCTGGCCTGGGACACTTTCTTCCTGTTTCAGGTTGTCTCTGAGTCACTGTCTAATCAGCTTGTCCCCTCTAGATTTCCCATGGATTTTTCCAATTTACTATAATTATTTTGCTGTTATTGTTAATCTTCACCAAGGATATTTTTCCATTAATCTTTTAGAGAGAGTGGAAGACAGAGGGAAAGACAGAGAGAATCATCATTGATTGGTTGCCTTCTGCACATTCCCCAACCAGGGCCTGGGCAGGGGAGGAGCCTGCAACCAAGGTACTTGCCCCTGACCAAAATCAAACCTGGAACCCTTTGGTCCGCAGGCCGATGCTCTATCCACCGAGCCAAACCGGATAGGGCACTATAATTATTTTTAATTTAATAGACTACTTTGTCTTTTTTAGATATGCCTTCCATGTGTTTTTGCTGGAAGAAATAAAGGAAAACAGCCAAGTATGGCGTACATGTTTAACCTGGAAAAATTAGAATTTTTCCTAGGCCAAGAAAACAGAATATGGGGAACCACTGAACTAGTGATTGCTAAGGTCTTTTAAGTTCTGGTTATGTGAAAGGTGTCAGAATTGAAGCCAGAGGAATTAAAGGTCTCAATTTTCTCATCTGTGAAATAGGTCTCTACCATCCTTCTCAGAGAAGAGTAATGAGGACCATAAGGCACTCAGCATAGTTGGAACACAGTAAGTGTTCCACATACAGAACTATTTTTGTTATTAAAATGGGCCCAACAAAACCCAATGACATTTTCCACATATATGTTCTCCCATGTATGTTCTAAACTACATTTTGCCTAGTTTTGTGCCATTTGGCCTCATTAAAGAAACAGTTGTTACATTTCTCATAAAATCTTTTCTGAGCTAGAAAATTCATCACTCTTCTTAGTCCTCTCTGAATCAGGAAGGTTTTTTGTTTTATTACACCTTAAATACATACAATATTTGTCAACTATACCTCAATAAAAGGAAGGTTCTTGCCTTGAACTTTTTGGTATGAATAGTTTTACATAGGTTGTATTTTTGCTGTTTTTACCATTAAATTGTAATTGTATAGAAGGCCAGAACAGCAAAAATAGTACATTTTGTATAGCAAAGTCTTTGAACTATTTCCTAGCCCCTCTAGCAACTTAACCAACATATTAACATCAGAAAACTCACCTCTAAGCAGGACCCTACCAAACTTAGAGTGAACCTAGGTTCCAAACTACACTGTTTCCTTAACCTTAATAATACATACAAAAAAAACCCATATTTAGTAGTCAATCTCTATGTTCAAAGTTATAATTAAAATAATTACCTAGAAGAAAAGGGAGAGAGACCTATTGACACTAAAATATCTCAACGGATCATGACAAATTTATAAGTGATTCATAGAATTATTCCATCATTTATAGGTGACACCTCTCTTAATTATATCAAAAGCTAAGTCACTAAAATTTCAAATCCAACACAAAAAGAGATTGCTCACCTCTGGAGATTTCTGTATATTCTGGAATACAGCATAAGCAATAAGTGAACTTGAACCTATAATACTAACATAGATAAAAGATCAATAAAACAGGACAATTGGGGTTCCTTCATTTATGCTATTGATTTTTAAAGCTTTATTGACATATAATTCATGTAAAATTACCTGCACATGTTTAAAAAAATATATAGACTGCTTCATGAATTTGTGTGTCATCCTTGTGCAAGGCCCACATCAATCTTCTCTATTTCATTCCAGTTTTTAGTATATGTACTACCAAAACTATTGATTTTTTTAAGTAAATCCTATTGATCAAGTTGTCCTTTGATTTTCAGAAGTTAGCCCTCAATCTGTACTTTTTGGTCTTATTGTTGTTGATATTGGTACATTTTATTAATCTGAAAATATCAACTTAGTAAAGAACAACACTTCTCTCTAACTAAAGAATAAAAGCAAATCCCCAGGGTGGAAAATGTAGAAACTTTCAGAATTCTCAAGTTTTTCTTTTTTTTTTTAAATATATTTTATTGATTTTTTACAGCGAGGCAGGGAGAGGGATAGAGAGTTAGAAACATCGATGAGAGATATACATCAATCAGCTGCCTCCTGCACACTCCCCACCTGGGTTGTGCCCATAACCAAGGGACATGCCCTTGACCGGAATCGAACCTGGGACCCTTCAGTCCGCAGGCTGACGCTCTATCCACTGACCCAAACCGGTTAAGGCTCAAGTTTTTCTTATACTAGTTTAAATAGTCATATCACATGAAATTATGTAAACGTACCTCAGAGTAGCCATAACAAACTGTATCCACTGTATTGCAGAATAAACCTAAACAAAATGAGAAAATAAGAATAAAACGAAGCCTTTCACATTTAATGTTCAACCTCATTCCAGTTTCACTGTTCATTAACTATCTGTGCAGAGCACAAACTCCTTTTCAGTACCTAATCAAAACACACTATAAATCTGAGAATGAGTAGAAAGTCTGACTAGAACCATGGAAAGGCAGGGCGGCTTCTTTCTTCCTCCCTTACTGCTACACTCTGGGAAACAGTAAGATAATAGAGAGGTAGAAAGTGACTGAGTGGAAACAAACAAACAAACACAGAGTTAAATGAGAAAATTAATAAAGGGAAGAATAAAATGGAGAAGAGGTAGGAAAAGTTAAATTGTGAGACAGGACAGATATATGGGGAAAATGGGTAAAAAGAAAGGCAAACAAATGCTAAATAGAGTTGAGTGACAGCTAGACAGACGGAGGAAAACAGAATACTAAGCAAAAGAGAAATAGAAAAAAGAAACAATATGGAGAGAGATACTTGAGTGAAAAATACAGAACAAGGAGGAAGAAAGGGGGAGCAAAAAAGAGGAGAGCTTCCCCACAGCTACTAATCTCACCAAGTCCAGACTGTCTGTCAGAATTCTAGCCTC